CCCACCTCTTCAAACTAATTTGTGCTTCTGAAATGTGGATCCCTGCATAATTAGCCCATACTGGGCAATAACCATCTTGGACACCGATAACACTAGCCACAGCAAAGGACCCCGTTTGCAACTAGTTTTCATTGAGTTGCTAATTATGACCATCTACATCCCAGAAGGGTTATGTGCCCTGCACAACCGCTACCTTTCGCCTTTTAACGCCAATTCGTCTTGAACCGGTGTGAACGTGGAGTAGGAGAGGGAAGAAGGGACGACCTGAACACTGTCAGACTAAGAGATCAGACGATCTATGTCCCCAACTTCACCACGACAGCCAAGGGAGGCATTCTCAAGAAGCCATTAACAGGAAAGCGGGAGTCAAAACGTCATTTATCAGATCGAGTCTCCTACTTGTCTCCAAACGGCCAGGCCCGGGCTTGGGGAGGAGGGGGCGGTGATGGGGAGAGTTTACCTTAGAAGGCGGCAGCGAACAGACAGGCCTTTCAAAGCCACCCAAAGCTCTGCCCGAGGCGGCGCGGAGGGGTGCGCGGCTGCGAGTCCCGCGGCGCCACAGGTTCCCCAGCGCGCAGCCCAGTCCGACTCCCACAGGTGGGCGGCGCTCGGCCTCCGGGGTGCGGGTGAGAGGAGGGGACGCGCGGCTCGCTGAGGACTCCGGGGAGGGGGCGANTTTGTCCTTTGACAAGAGGAAAGTTAAAGTGAAAAAATGAGAACAAGGGAAAACAGCAATGGAAAGTTTTGAAAACCCCTATGAAAGTTTAGAAATAAACCATTTCTCAACACACCCTCTTTAAAAATGGATAGGGCCACCAGTCCAGACCCAGGATGGGCAGTGTGAATTCCTTCATGCCAGAAGAAAACAAATACCCAAGTCAGGGACAGAATTATGCAATGGGCTCGATCCCACCCTACCTGTCTATGTCTTCTCTCACTATGTCTCCACCTCCATACCATGAAGCCAAAACTTAACACAAAACCCTCAGGTTGAGAGCCTGCCTTCCGCCTCAGGCTGCTCTCCCTCCAAACCGCATTCCAAATACAGAAAGAATAAAATACATTTGAATGTGGTATTAAAATTAAAATAGGACTACTTGAGGTAACGAAATCCACAAGAGAAAATTCAAGTGCAATCTGGTACACATAACTTTCTTCTGAGATTTGGGGGGGTTGGGGCAGCTTGCTTTTACAACCTGCTTAAGAGGTAATGAATAAAGCTCTTCCTTGTAGACACTTCTTAATTCCATGCTTTTAAGCTTTCCTTTTGTTTTCCAGCACTGCCCTCCACCCACCTCTTCAAACTAATTTGTGCTTCTGAAATGTGGATCCCTGCATAATTAGCCCATACNCGGCTCCCCCCCGCCCCTGGCCCCCGCAGCCCCTCACCCGTGTTGGCCTTGATGTTCTCCCGCAAGAAGTGGCCGCTGGAGAGATGCTGGAGGCCAAAGTTCTGGGCGATCCTCTGGCACACGGTGCCCTTGCCCGAGCCGGGCGGCCCGAGGATGACCGCGCGCAGGAGTTTGGAAGCCATGGCCTTCGCGAGCAGGGGGGCGGCCAAACGGGCAGCCCAGACAGCGGCCCCGGAGGGAGCCCCGGGAACTTTGTTTCTTGGCCCCTGCCTCTGGCACCCTCCGCTCGCGCGGGGACTCGCCGGCCGCCCCTACAGGGGGAAGGAGAGACTTTTAAGACAGCCCCTCCCCTCAGCCCCGCGCCCAGACCGACTGGAAGGCGGAGTAAGGCGCCACGCTACACCTCCCCGCCCTCCTCCACCCCCTCGCCCCCACGCAGCGACTCTGGAGAACTCCAGTGCCCCGCCCTGCGGGGGTCCGCCTTCGGGGTCAGAGGTCGGCCCGGCCGGTCCCACCTCGATCCTCTCCTCTAGCTGGCTCCCTACGGCGCGNCCCACCTCTTCAAACTAATTTGTGCTTCTGAAATGTGGATCCCTGCATAATTAGCCCATACCGGGCAATAACCATCTTGGACACCGACAATACTAGCCACAGCAAAGGACCCCGTTTGCAACTAGTTTTCATTAAGGAGTTGCTAATTATGAGCATCTGCATCCCAGAAGGGTTATGTGCCCTGCACAACCGCTACCTTTCGCCTTTTAACGCCAATTCGTCTTGAACCGGTGTGAACGTGGAGTAGGAGGAGAGGGAAGAGGGGACGACCTGAACACTGTCAGACTAAGAGATCAGACGATCTATGTCCCCAGCTTCACCACGACAGCCAAGGGAGGCATTCTCAAGAAGCCATTAACAGGAAAGCGGGAGTCANGTAGGCGCTTGGGGACATAGCACTGAACAAGGGATGGAATCCTGCCCTCATCCAGCTCTCGTGGAATTTACGTTCCAGTGGGAGTCTTGGGAGTTGGGGGGAGAGGGCGCAGCTGGCTGGTATGGGGATCTGGACGGTGGGTGACTTTGGTGTGACAAAACTGTGCTGTAACCAACTGAGCTAACCTGGTCCGCGCCCCGGCCCCTTCCTGGCGGCTGTCACATCCCCCGGAGTCGCAAGGGCCGCCGCTGCCCGCCGCCCGTGCGCACTCGGAGGGGCCCACCTCCGCCCAGGCTTGGCAGATGCGCCCCCCTGCCGTGGGGCGCGCGAGGAGCCCGAGCCCGGCGTCTCTCCACCAAAAGCAGTCCAAGAAACACACCTAGGCTGAAAGCAGCGCTCGAGAGGCTTCCAGCCGGTATCCCGCTGGGCGGCGCCGCCTCCGCCCGCCCAGGCTCTGAGCCTCGCCGGCCGCGCGGGACTCGCGCCTTACGTAAGCCGGAGACCGGCTTCCCACCCCGCCTTCCCGGGCCACGTGCTCCCCGCGACCCAGTGGGGGCTGCGGGGGCGAAGGGAGCTGGCGACGACACGAGGGAAAGAGACCCCTTTTTTTGTGGTCGCCTAGGGACCTGGTACTGTGGAGGGGAAGGAAAAATACAACTTGTTGAGCGCCTACTGTGCGTCAAGTCCAGGGCTAGGTGATGTCATGATGCAACCATCCTTCCAGGTACGGTGTTTTTAGACAAGGAGTGTGACCGTTCGTTCATTTTATTCATGCATTCAGCGAACGTTTGAGTGCCTACTATGTGCAAGACACTGTCGTAGGCGCTTGGGGACATAGCACTGAACAAGGGATGGAATCCTGCCCTCATCCAGCTCTCGGGGAATTTACGTTCCAGTGGGAGTCTTGGGAGTTGGGGGGAGAGGGCGCGGCTGGCTGGTATGGGGATCTGGACGGTGGGTGACTTTGGTGTGACAAAACTGTGCTGTAACCAACTGAGCTAACCTGCCGGCTTCAGCGGGATTCTTGAACCCACGACTGACTGACTCCTGTCAAAAGACCAAATTAAGTTTAAAGACCTCAACTGGCTTCATTGAGATTCTAGGATCAGGCAACATTTCATTCCATAAAATAGTATAAGTATTCGAATGAGCTGAGCAAAAGAAGTTTATAGACAGAAAAATGGCTGAAGAAAGCAGAAACAAGGGCCAGCCCGGTGGCGCACTCGGTAGAGTGCGGCGCTTGAGAGCGCGGCGGCGCTCCCGCCGAGGGTTCGGATCCCATATAGAGACCGGTCCGCTCACTGGTTGGGCGCGGTGCGGGCGCCACACCGAGGGTTGCAATCCCGTTGCCGGTCGCGGTACGGGCGCGACACCAAGGGTTGCGATCCTGTTACCGGTCACAAAAAAAGACAAAAAAAAAAAAAAAAAAAAAAAAAAAAAAAAAAAA